TTCCTTCTTTCTTGTCTTCTTAATGACTTTTTGCTCTCTTCATGTATGATATTCTTGATGCCATCCCACAACTCACACATAATTCACAATAAAACATTTAAGAAAAACAAATTGTAATTATCCTTCAGTGAGATAATTCTAGTAATCTCCAAATGGGCTGCTCTTCTTCCCTATGACTGTTGGTGTTGTCGTTAAGTACTGTCAGTCAGTCCGACTCATAGGGACCCTGTATAGGGTTTAGAGGACCAGCTAGTGAATTTGAAATGCCAACCTTCCTTATGGCTACCCCATTCCAATTCTCCCAAAGAAACCAAAGCACTCCATTTAAAATATAAGTACGATCATGTGACTCCTGTGCTGGAAACCTCTACTGACTCCCAACTGTCTCCCAAGAAAGATAAAGTTCTCACAAAGACCTAGAGGGGCACTGGTATGTTTTTCACCTCACCAACTGCCATTTCCCCTCTGTGTACTTGGCCTTATTCACATTCACCTTCTTGTGGTTCTGGGAACAGTCAGTCAGGCACACTCAGCTTTCCAGGCCTTTGCACTTGTTACATTCTGTTGAGTCGGTTCTAACTCATAGTGAACTTTTGTAGAGTTTCCTAGGTGGGCTTGAACAGTGACTTTGTGGTTAGCAGTCCAGTGCTTATCCTACAGTGCCACATCTGAACTCCTTATTCCCCGAGATATCTGTAAGGCTTATTCCTTCACTTCCTTCAAAGGTGCTTTTCCTGACCAGGCCACCCTATATAAAGCACCCTTTGTCACTGGGATTCTCTATCCTCCTTACTCTTCTTTATTTTTCTTCATAGCACTTTATATATTTCTTTGTTTAGTGTTTATCACTTCTCAAGAGAAAGTAAGCTCTAGGAGGGCAGATCTGTAGGTTTTGCAGTTTTACTGCCGAGTCCTGGTGTGTCCCTGTAGGTTAATGCACTAGACTCCAAAATTGGTTTGAACTACAAGGTAGGTTTGAACTGCAAGGTCAGTGGTTTAAGCTCACCAGCCACTCCTTGGAAATACTATATAAAGTCACTATGAGTCGGGACTGACTCAACAGCACTTAACAACAACAACATATTACTGAGATTCCCAGTTGTTGTTAGGTGCCAGTCCATAAGTTCCAACTCATAGGGATCCTATGTACACTAGAACAAAACACTGCCCAGTTCTGTGCCACTGTTGCTATATTTGAACCCATTGTTGCGACCACTATGTCAATCCGTTCCACTGAGGGTCTTTCTCTCCTCCACTGATCCTTCACTTTACCAAGCATGATTCCCTTCTCCAAGAACTGGTCTCTCCTGTTAACATGTCCAAAGGATATGAGACATGTTAGGAGCATTCTGGCTTTACTTCTAAGACAGATTAGCTCATTTTTCTTACAGTTTATAATATGTTGGATATTTTTCACCAATATCATAATTCAAAGGCTTTGTAATTATTAATTAAGTTTTCCTTATTCATTGTCCAACTCTCACATGCATAAGATATAACTGAAAATACCTGGGTTGGATCAGGCACATCTTAGTCCTCATAGTGACATCTTTGCTCTTTAACATTTTAAAAAGGTCGTTTGCAGCAGATTTGCCCAGTGTAATACATCATTTGATTTATTGACTGCTGCTCCTATGTGCATAGTTGAGTTAAGTAAAATTAAATCTTTGACAACTTCCAGATTTTCTCCATTTAACATAATGTTGCTTATTGGTCTCAGTAACATTCAATAAATATCTGTTGAATAAATGAGTTAATCTAATCATTGTATACTTTGCTAGTGGCGCTGTAAAGTAAGTATTGGACTACTAACCAAAAGGTTAGTGGTTCAAACCCACCAGCTGCTCCTCAGAAACTCTATACAGGGTCTCTATAAGGCACAATGGACTTGATAGCACTGAACAATATAACACCAACACTGCTAACAATTGCAAAATTGGTCTCTTGTGCTATAAGTACACAAGAGAGATTTTCACACCCAGAAATGGAAGATACTTAGGCAGTTAGAGGAATTGATGGTTGACAAGGCAAACTCACCAGCCACTCCTCGGAAACCCTATACAGGGTGGCTGTGAGTCGGAAACAACTCAATGGCACTTAACAACAACAATCTAACAACAGTAAGAAACATAATTTAAAAAAAAAAATAGAAGCATTAGGTAAACAAAAATAGAAATAAATATATTTTTAACTTTTCAGTTATTGAAGTTTAAACACTATGAAAATACTCAATGAGATGGATTAATATAGTGGCTACAACAACAGGTTCAAACATAGTAACAATCGTATGGATGGGACAGGACTGGGCAGTGTTTTGTTTTGTTATACAAAGTCAGAACCAACTTGATGACACTTGAAAACAACTATAATAATTCTGAAGTGATGAGGAAAAGATCCCCTTTTGATAAGCCAATTGTTTTTCAAGACAGGTTAAGTTGTTTTTTCTTCTTCTGATCCTGAACTGTTGTAACTTTATATTGAACCAGTGCGAGGGTGGGGCAGGGAGAATTTCTGTACCATCCATTGTGTTTTTTAAGAGTTCACTTATTAGATGAAATATGAGGAAATGTTTTCTATTTTACCTTTTTTCTTTCTTTCTTAAATGACTACTTAAATACAGATAGCAGTACACATGACAAACTGGAGGAGCAGGCTCAGCCACCTTACCTAGCTTACCTGTTACCTGATAGCTTCACTCAGATAGCAGAACCAGCAATGCAGTGTAACTGGGCTGGAACCTTGCCCAAGATGAGCCCTCAAATGCAAGAAGGAGACCTCATGGTAAGAAGTAGAGGGGGAGGGGGAAGGGGGAGGGGGAAGGGACAAATAACTGCTTGGCATATACCACTCACATAAATTTTAAAAAATAAAAAACAGACAAAAGGGAAAAAAAGAAAGATCAAAGTAAAGGCACATAAACATGTAAATTTTCTTAGAAGATCAAAATGTAAAACATGAACATACACCCCAGTTTTATCCATGGAATTTAAATAGGTAAAGTTGTAACATTTCCAGTTTCTGGCAAAGAAGTATTATGAACCTATGTGGTATATGTCATTTTCTTAAGAGGATAAATATTTCTTATCAACGAAGTTTGTTTTTTTAGTGGTTATTCTGTTTGCATAAATAAAACTGTATAAATAATTGTTATAATATTTACCATAAATGTTACAGAACTATTAAGAAGGATCATTTTAAATAAATCCTATATTTAGCACCTATTTTTTGATAACTCCTTGTTTCTAAGAACTTGCAAGCTTTTCTACTTCATTGACTCTGGCAGTTTGGAAAAAAGTTTTCTATAGTAATATAATTAAGTGTCTTTCCAGCACTGGGGGAAGTTCAATGATGTATTGAAACATTCATCCAGAGACCTGGTTTCTGGGCCCAGGTACATTTTGACAAATGAGAGTAGCTGGAAGGTTCTAATAATAGCTCCTATTGTGGAAATTACTTTGGAGTTTCCTTCTTATCTTATCTAAGCAATTTTTCAGTCTTTTCCAGATCTAAGAGTACATAACTCAAATATGCTAAAAATAAATACTTTTTAAATGGACTGCATGTTTTTCCGTGAAAAGGGGAAGGGCTATATGCAATATTTTGTACTAGAGCTTTAAATACAGTACAATATCAAGTACAATATTATCAAGATGTTTTGCTCCTGAAAAAAAAACAAAAAACCATGTTTCAGGGTGGCATTGCCCTGTAGAGGAGTTCATTGAAGTTGATGTTGTTAAGTGTTGTCGAGTAGGTTCCGACTCATAGCAACCCTGTATAGGGTTTCCAAGAAGCAGTGGGTGGGTTTGAACTGGCGACCTTGTGGTTCCCAGTCCAGGGCTGATCTTACAGTACCTCGCCAGGTCTTTGGGGTAGTCAACTTCATAAAAAAAAGTTCCAGCTATTCCCGATCATCCTCCAGGAACTTTCACTGGAATATAAACTGTTTTGAATGGGACTTGGTCCCGATTCAACTAGGAACCCAGCGAAATTTGTAACCCCCATTGGCTGTCCTGATGGTGAAGGCGTTGCCCTGGGGGAAGGCAAGGGTACGGATAGTGCTGTGGCTGCGGATGGGGGTACTGAAAGAGCCACCCTCTTCCAGCTCGCTTTGGCTCAGGTTCAGCGTGTTCAGGCTGCAGTCAGTACGAAGCCCCCGGAAAGCACCGTGCAAGTTCCCGGGCCTGCAGTCGGTGCTCGTGTGCTCTGGTTGCAGCCGGGGTCGCTTGGGGTCCTGGCTCTGCAGGGCTTCATCACAGCGCTCGGAAATCTCCCTCAGGATGGCATCCACTTCGGCGCAATCCTGCCCAGCAACACTGAACAGTTCCTCCAAGCTCCTTTTGGCCGTCGCCTTAAGCAGGAAGGGCTCGGCCTCCGCCCTGCACTCCCGGGACTGCGTGATCATAAGCTTCTGAGAAAGATGGGAAAGCAAAGCAACCGGGTGTGTTAGGAAGGCGGCTGAACACAAGGGCAGGCGCAGACTCGGCACCGCACCGTTTACGTGCCTGCAGGTGGCTCAGAGAACTCTGCAGTTTGCCCAGCTAGTCCTTATTTGCCCTCCACCTCCCGCCCCAACGGGTCCCAACACTGGCAGTGAGGTAGAGGATGCGCAGCAACGGTTCTGATGCCCCCTAGGGTCCCGCATGCCGGCGCCTCACTTACATCGAGTACAGAGGCCAGGTGCCGAGTCCGGTTAGCTAGTTCCTTCAACTGAACGTTCCGCTCTTTGAGCGAGGCAATCTCCTCCTGCTTCTGGGTTAGTGTCACATGCAGCTGCAGGGAAAGGAGACCCACACATTCACGAGTGTGCCACCGTGCTCAGTCTCATCTGCACATTCTGCAGGAACTGAGGGCCCAGGACATTTACACAGGTAATGATAATAAGCAGTTTACTTGGACTTTTTTTTTTTTTTACAAAGAATTTTGACAACATGTATATTAATTAATCCACGACTTGAGCAACAGGAAGACCTAAATTCTAATCTGACCTTACCACTATTGCCTTTCCTTGGATATGAAGTTCAGTCTTCCTAGATCTCTTTTCCTTATTTGTCAAATGGGTCTGATAAAAGCACCTACCTCCATAGGTGGTTGTATTAAATGAGAGAAGAAAGCAAACTGATAAGCACATAGAAATTTCTCAAAGCAAAATAAAATATCGGCAGCGTAGTGGTTACGAATCGGGCTGCGAACCTTAAGGTCAGCAGTTCGAAACTACCAGCCGCTCCGCGGGAGAAAGATGAGGCTTTCTACTCCCGTAAAGATTTACACCCTCGGAAACCCTGTACAGGGTCGCAACCGACTCGAAGGCACTTAACAACAACAACAATTAAAAATTCAGTGGGATAGGATTCGTATCTCCTGAGGAGGACCCACAATAGCAGTTACATCGACCATTAGCACTTTGTTGCCCAGGGTTACAACCCACCCCCACCCCCCACTTTCACCCATCCCTCCCAGGGTTACCTGGTTATTCTCTACGAGAGCATTCCCCAGTGCCCTCTGGTTCTGGTCAGCCACTTCTTTCCAGTACTGCTCCGGCGGGGGCACGTCTGGAGGGCGCAGTGGAGGTGACTGCAGGACCCCTGGATCTAGCTGCTGCGGCCGGGAGACGCAGGCTCCGAATGGTGACACATCACAGGGCGAGAAGGGATAGTCTCTGCCCGCCAAGGGGGGTGACATCAAAGAGGAGTCTGGGGGGAAAGTGTGAACTAGGCTTACAGCCTGGGATCTGTGCTCTGCCCCAGGGGTGAAATTCCATGAGCAGGGTTTATGGGGAGATTTTCTTTATTGTGTAGAGCACCCTACAGGCCCCAGGCCCTGCCTCTTATCCAGAACACACAATAGACACTCGACATTTGTCTGAGTTGATCTGAACTCAACTGATGCTTCCTAGGGCAAGCATGCCTAGGCTTGGAAGAGTCACACTGAGCCTTCGCCCCTGTTCCCCACCTCATCAGAGTATGGGCTCCCTCTCCTAGAATGCTGGATACAATCCGAGAATGCCTCAGATCCACCAGTCCATCTTCTCCATTAGATTTGAGGACAGGGTTCCTAACTATGAAAGCATCGGACTGTTTGAGCTGTTTGTTGCCTGCTGGGGAGTCTTTGACAGCTGGCTAGGGTACTACTTCACCGCCACGAAATCTACTTTGGGGATGTGGGACACCCCAACTGTTGTTTAACTGCATAGAAATGGAACTTGCCTGCAATGAGATCATCCACCGTGTCTCTGAAATCCTGCAGATCGGTGAAGTCTGGTTCTGCTTGCAAAGAATGGTTCTGAAATAAACCAGAGGTGTACAGCAGTTAACGTCGAGACTGACAGATGCAGAACTCGTCCCAAACCGACAGACGTCCTCCAGGGCTCAGCTGCAGGTCTACACACACTGGTGTACCTGCAAATCAAAGTTCCCCTCCAAACAGGGAGCTCAGCAGACCTGCACCGTCATGATAAGAGAGCTGCACGCACAGAGCCAGGGCAAGGACAGTGAGTTTCCAGTCCGTGGCTCCCACAGGGTGCTGAGACTTGTGTGAGACTCTGTCCCGTCTCCGTCTCTCCGAGCGCCGTGCAGTGGTCCGCGGGCACTGAAGCAGGGCCCCGTCCGGCTCGCAAGGCCCCGCGCCTCATTGGTCAGTCCCGAGTCAACCAGCTTGGCTGTGTGTTCCCCCGAGTATTCCTAAGAGCCTTCAGAACTTTAACCCAGACTTACCCCCAACAGGCTGAGGTGCCACCGCTATTAGAACCGAGAACAAAAAGTGAGAACAACTGTCTTTAGACCCAAAATAATATGAGGAATTCTCCAAGCAAGTAACTTAAAGCCTTGATTTCTGCTGAGGTTTCCGTTTCCGTGGAGGTACTCGCACAGACACACACACATCATCCCCCACCGTACTCCTATCCCAGCAACAAAGAAGAAGAAAGGTGTTTGAGTGGTCAAGGAAGCTATGCAAAGTGCTGTTGTTTAGCACCCAGCAAGGACGGCCTCTACTATTCTTTTCAATTTCTCACAAAGGTGGAATTGACTATTCCTACTGCCTGGACCATCCCCTGGGTTCCAGAAATGTGTTTGGGTTCCGGAGGAGGAGGAGGATATGTTAAGCGGATGATGATCTGTAACCTTTTTATTCCATTAATTCTGGGATATTTACAATTGACAAACCCTTTTACATAGACTCTCCCAGTTAATCCTTTCATCAACCATGGGAAGTTGACCGGGCTGGGAAGTGACTCCTCTATTTGGATGGAGAATCTGGAGCTCAGAGAAGTTGAACTGCCCAAAGTAGCCCAAGATTGGTGCCTATCTTAAACCTCTGTCCACCTCTTTGCCTCTGGCTTTCAAGAAGACAGCACTGGGAAGGGGAAAGGAGTGTTCCAAGTAGCAAGATGTGAGGATGCACTGGGTGCTCCCATCAGAAATATGTATTCTACTGACTGCAGTGACATTCACCTAATACCTATTCACTCTTTTGTGGTAATTAACACTCTTCTCCCAGTACCTCTTCTTTATTATTATTTCTGAGAAGAGGTACTTATTCTGACTCTAACTTCAAAGAGGCAAGCAAGTTTATCAGTTGTCCATGGGGAGGAGAGACTGAAGCACAGCACAGAGACCCCTAGTACTAGTTGGGAACTGGGGCTATAACAGGAAATGGTTTAGAGAGGGAGCGTTGAGGGCCTCACACAACTCATGAAGCAAAAATTCTGCCCTGGTTGAAAGAATCAGAAATGAGACTCATTCTCCATGGGCTACAGATCTTCCTCAAAAGGAGTTTGGAAAAACGCCTTACATAACAGGAGGAGGCAGGAGGCCAAACCAGGAACTTCTTGTTGTTAAGTGCCATTGAGTCACTTCTGACTCATAGTGACCCTGTATAGGGTTTCCAAAGAGCAGCTGGTGACCTTGAACCACCATCCTTGCAGTTCAAATGGACTTTTAAGTTCAGCACCATACCAAGGCTCCATATAAGGAAGTAGTATTCCCCTATGCTATCTCCTATCTTGACATATCCGGGTCCTCAAACACTTCTGGAGTGCTTCCTAGGGAAATATGACAAGAGTGTTCATGGTCAGGGGTTTCTCCAGGGAATATTCCTCTAAGAACCTCTTTCCCTCTCCACCAGTCTGGCTTCCCCAGAGAAAAATTTGGACCTTTTGGTCCATCTGCTGTGAACTCTGCTGACCTTGAAGTTTTGGATCCCACATCCCCAGTTAAGATAAAAATCCATCAAGTCTCTAACTACAGCAACTAAAACATAAAGCATGGTGTCAATTTTAAATCTGGTATACTTAAGCCACCATTCAGCAAGCGTCTGCTTGGTTTTGCTACATGTTGGGGTGAGGCAGGTGCTGGGCCTGGGATCAACTGAAGATGCTCAAACATTTCCTTATTTCAGCCTCCAGATCTAAGAAGAGCAACAAAATTGTCTCTGCAGGACACTGCATTCTCCCACCCCTTGTTTTAACAATCTTACAGCCACCTATCTTGATTCCCCAGAGCAAACTTGAAAGTTTGCTCCTTCCCCATTCTGAGCTCTAGGAGGTGGTCACATCTTTTGGAGAGTTCTGTACTGAACTTGTACCAGGAAGCTGGAGCAGTGGGCTGCTAAAACCTCCCATCCTGGGCACGCTATATCCCACGGATGAGACAGGTTTCTGACCCCTTCATTTCCCACCTCCACCCATACTAGTGCTGGGGGAGTTCCAAGGCGATACAAGAAAGAAAACAGGTTTTGGGGGGGAAAAATTAAAATGTGTTTGTGCTCTTTGCAGATTGTTGTAAGTGCATCAAGTCGGTCGGTTCCCACTCATAGAGACTGTAAATCGTTTCGGAAGCAGAAAGCCTCATATTTCTTCCACAGAGCAACTTGTGGGCTCAAACCGCGGACCTGTGGTTATTCTGAGGATAAGAGGACTTTAAAGTGCCCAGCTGCTGAGGAGTAGTCTCTACAGAGGAAGCGCATTTTCCATCAGGTTTCTTCCAGCGTCTTTTCTCCCAAATGCAAATTCGTTTCCTCTTTTCCAGTGTTGAGCAAGATGTTAACCACCGACCTCCACTCTCCTTCGATGTCCATAGAACGAAAATGGTTAGCGAATAGCGGGGAAGGAGGCCCTAGGGCGAGAGGTGTGGAGAGGAAGGGAGCTGGAAGAAAGATAGGTCAGCCATCAGATGCCCAGCACTGTAACTTTGTTCCCACCCGAAATCTCCTCTTTGCAGCGCCAGGGAATAGATGAGAAGGGGAAGAGTGACCCGTCCCACAGAGGAGCCCTCCAGGTAAACCCCTCTGACCAGAGTTAGTCAGAAGAACTCCTGAGAAGCAGCCGTCGTAACATACGAGGAAGAGGAAGGAGGGATGCCCGAGGAGCAGGTTCTTGCACGATGCCTTCTCCATCGACCGGCAGTGCCTGAACTCCCCGCAGGAGCCAAGCCATGAAGCAGACAAACCCACAGGTGCTGAATCCGATTTTGAGCTACGAGAGTCAGCCAGAGATACCTGCAAGGCGGCGGGATTACCACTAGGCGGCGCGTCGGGCCCGAGTAGCGAGGAGCAGTCGGCGAGGTCCTGCAGGTCTATGGTGGTGAGGGCTGCGCGGGGAGACCGGGAGACACGCGCCCAGCATACCCTGAGTCTTCCAGCCGTGCTAGTGCTGAGACCCCGACAGCGCCGGAGCCCGAGGGAGAGAAGCCCCTCCGAGCCGCGCTTGCCTCCCGACGCGGGAAACCCGAGGGGATGCGCTGCGGCCACGGGGCTCACCTGGGAGCGCAATGGGCACCGCGTCCGCAGGATCTTCGTACACTGACACCTGGCTGCCGCCGCTGCAGATAGGAAAGAACTTCCGCGGAGGGGCGAACTAGCGGGGCAGAGAAATAGTGAACGTGGGGTCAGCCCTAGGTCTGGCTTGCACAGACCTCGCCTACCGGGGTCCCAGCCCCACCTTCTTCTCCAATTTCCCCGGCTTCCCCGGGGGCCGACTAGGCAGTGCCGGCATCCTGTTGGGGCAGATGCTGTCGAAGGCCCGGCGACCCTCCGCACGGCCCCTGCACGCCTCCATCCTGCCTAGGGGCGCGCTTGGACCCGGGAGCCCTGGGCCGGGCAGAATGTGCAGGCTTGGAGGTGGCAAGCTCGTGGCCGGGGAGGAGCCATGGGGCAGCAGGAGGGCGGGGAGGAGCGCGCAGATCGCCGCGCGGGAGGGGCGGCTCGCGCCTGAGCGCCGGAGGTGGCGCCTTTAGCCCAGGACAATCTGCGTACAGGCGGAGGCGTTAAACCCAACCTGGCAACGCGACTTCCCCCGGGAGCCGCAAGCGCGGGGTCCCAGCCCGCGAGCGCCCTTTCGGTGAGAGTTGGCGCCGCCGCCTCAGACCGCGTCAAAGGGAAGGCGGGGAAGAAGGAATGGACGTGTCCCACCCGTCCCCAGCAGTGGGTACCGCCTTCACTCTTAACGGCAGCGGGGATGGAAAAGTTCACGATTTAAAAAAAGAGAAAAACTTTTTTATTGCGAATTGAGTGAAGGTTTATAGAGCAGACCGTCAGTTTTACATTTAACAAATCATACACTTTATTTCATCTCACAATTTTTATTTCCTCTTTCCATCCCATTTTCATAAACCGTGGGACGGCACTCGCCAAAGTTAAGATCCCAGCTTTTCCTCTGCACTGCAGAGTTGGCGATGATGTAGAGTTCTGACAGAGGTTTCCCAGGGCAGCCCCCGATACAGAAGCCTCTTCCCCTAAACGTGGCTGGTGAGAAACAGATACTCACTTGATCTCGCCGGCAGCAACGCCTGAACACAGTCTTTAAAGGGGTCACCTAAGAAAAAGTGGCATCCACAACCCCCCTCCAGTTTCTGAAAATTCCAAGTGAACAACTCCAAATCTCCTAAAGCCCTTCTCTCAACATCTCTCCCCTGGAGGCCTCAGCTGCTCATCCCAGTGTTTGCTCTGCCTTAGTCTCAGGGGCCCTTCCCAACCAAACTCAAGGCCTCTCCCAGGAAGTGGCATCCTTGAAGAGGGGACCGCTTTGTGTCCTGTTCCGTTGGGCACTTTGACCTTATTTACACATAGTAGTAATGAAAGATCCTCTTTTAAAGTGTTATGATCCTCTTTTATTTGCATGGATTATCTGGGTTAATAAGATTTCCCTCCCCCCTTCCCCCAAGGGAGTCCTGGTGTGGCGCTGTGGGTTAATGCGCTGGGCTATAAAGTCACTTCGAACAGCAAGGTCGGCGGTTCAAGCTCACCAGCTACTCCTCGAAAACCCTATACAAGGTCGTTATGGGTCGGAATCGACTCGACGTCATTTAACAACAACAACAACAGCGATGGGGAGTTCTGATGTGGCACTATAGGATAAGCACTGGACTGCTAACCACAAGGCCAGTAGTTCAAACCCACCAGTCAGTTGCTCCTCAAAAACCCTATACGGGGTCGCTCTGAGTCGGATCCTATTCAATGGCACTAGACAACAGTGATGGAGGATATCCCAAATGGTTACGTTAGAGTCAATTTAGAGACCTTCTGACTCATGTTATGGATGCAGGAAATGATGAAGTGAAGTTAGTCAGCTGGAATTAGTGTGGTATTACTAATGATGACGTTTTGGCTTTAGGATGGAAACCTGACTTCACCCATGACCAGATTCCTGAGCCCTAGTTCTTCAGGAAGAACAGCAATACTGACCTCAGTAGAGTTGCTGTGAAGACAAAGGAGATAGTTATGTGAAGTGACTGGTGCTTGAATTGAATATGTTAATGTTTTGCACTTCTAGTCACTAGGCAGTTCACTACTTACCTCCTTCCTTACCTAGCCCGTGTCCAGCCTGTGAAATGAGTGGGAGAGCTCTTGGCTGAGTTTTGGGGGGATTTTTACATATGCCGGCCACTACGAATTTTCCAGAACAGGCTAACTATTCAAATACTCATTGATGAATCTCTTGTTGTTGTTAAAATCCCACTTATAGCAACCCCTGTATAGGGTTTCTGAGCAACAGATGGTTAGTCTGAACTTCCAACCTTGTGATTCAAACCAACCTTGAAGTCCAGCGCATTAACCCGCAGGGCCACACCAGGACTCCACATATCCATACGTAATTATATAACCCTCTAATCTGGATGATTCTGAAACCACTTCACTCATAACAGCCTGAGTCCAGTGATAAAGTACTGATAAATGCTGATGAAGACAATTTCTCCCTGGTTTGCAGAAGGATCAGTCATCCTTTTCCAGCTCCCAGGCAGACTAAGGAACCCAGAGAGTTTTGATTTGGAACAAGCAATATGGTAAATATGATCTTTCTCCTACCAGTCAACATAATTGACCATTTTTCCTGTTTGTCTATTCCCACCTCAATTCCTATGCAGGGGAGGAGGGGTTCCTGGAGAATTTAGCATGACAATGTATCTAGAGAAGAGGTTTCTGAGGGGCCCAGAGAGGACACCCCAAGCTCTGAAGAACACTTGGAGGATGCATGTGGAGAAAAGTGAAAATTCTCTAAATTTGCTTTGAGTGTATTTGCTTTTTGTTTGTATTTGTTGCACACTTTGATTCATCCTAAATTCAGTTGGATATTGCTGTTTCTTTCTATTTTGTTGATTATATTGAATTTATTAGATTCGTTTTTTCCATATTTCTTGAAGGTCTGCTAAATGCTAGAACAGTACTTGGTGACTGTAATTGCATCTCAGTAAGGTTCTGCTATTATTCCTAGTTTACAGATGATGCTTAGGCATAGAGATGTCACTTGCTTAAGGTCACCCAGGATAGAGAAATCTCAAGCAAATGACTCCACTCACTAATTCTATTCCTTCACAATAATTTCTTTAAACTTCACAACAGCCCTTTTGTTCATTGTAAGGCTTAGAGAAGTGAAGAAATTTGCCAGAGATGCTACAGTAAAATCTGCAAAACGTAGAACTTGTATAAGGCAGAAACCTGTCAAAGAAGGAAAACTCAAATATTTTCCACTAAAATAAGCAATATAAAAATTATAAAACCACACCCTGTAAAGGGCAGAAAACTTGTGAGACCCAGAATAATAAGGCAGTCCCATCAAGTTCTGGCTCTCACAGGTGTCATTGTAGAGAACAGCAGATTCAGGACCCAGAATGAGGATTGGAGCCACAGAGCTCCAGCAAGCCTCTCTCCATTTGTGACTCCGTTTTCTCATTTTTAAAATACGTACTGTGATGTGACCGGAATCAAGGACCATTCTGGGATCTACAGATATGTTCTCCATGGGTGGTGGTTATGTGCCTTGGAGTTGGTTGCACTCACAGCAGCAACCCTGTACAGGGTTTCCGAGGCTGTAAATCTTTACAGGAGCAGAAAGCCTCGTCTTTCTCCCACGGAACAGCTGGTAGTTTCAAACTGCTGCCCTTGCAGTTCACAGCCCGAATCACAACCACTACGCTACCAGAGCTCCTTAAATGTTCTCTATTGTTGTTAAGTGCCGTTGAGTAGATTCCAACCCATAGCGACCCTGTATGGGGTTGGTGAACTTGAACCACCAACCTTGAAGTTCAAACAACTTTGCATCTGACGCATTAGCCCCCAGTGCCACACCAGGACTCCATGTTCTCTATAGTGCTTATTAAATTGACGATACTGGGTAGAACACTCTTAGGAACCTAGTCAGGAAGAGGGAAGTTCCCACTGAGAATTAATGGAAATCTGTAAGTGGGAAAATTTTAGGAGAATGGTTAAAGACAGAGCTCTGGACTTACTGCCTGCCTTCAGACCCTGCTTCCTCCACTGTTAGTCCCAATGTTCTTTTCTAGAAAATGGGATCATATTTGGCCTCATAGAATGTTAAGTGCCATCAAGTCAGCTCAGGCTCATAGCAACCCTGTGTAGGGTTTCCAAAGCTGTAAATCTTTGTGGGAGCAGAAAGCCTCATCTTTCTCCTGCAGAGCAACTCATGGGCTCGAGCTGCTAACTTGTGGTTAAAAGCCCAGTGTTTATCCTTAGGAGCCACCACACTCCCCATAGAATGATTGTGAGGATTGAAGTACTGCACATGGAATGACAGTACCTGGGACACAGTAATCACTCAGTGACAGCCATTATTACTATTATGCCATCCCTACTTTGGGCTCACATGCAGCAGTGTAAGAGATATGTTGAACCATATGATTGCAGGATGGCTGCGCTTCATTTGAAATGATCGTAACCAACCTTCATTTCCAACATCTGTGAGTTGTTACACAGGAATTCTCTGTATCTGAGTCTTGCTTCTTTCTCTAGCTCATTTGTAGTGCTTTGCTTCACTGTGCTACCCAGTGCCTCCCTCATCAGTCAAACCCTAGTCCTGGACCCTTCTGGATAAGTCCACTGCAGGGCCAGGCTCTATTCTGCCTGATGCCTACAATACCTTTGGGCCCCCCATGAATATTCAGTCTAACTCAAGGGTCTTGGGACACAGGCCTAAAAAGTGACTGTCACCACTGGAAGGCTTTGTTAAGGGTTTAACTGGACTTGGGACATCCTGGTAAAGATACCAACTAGTGTGAACCTCCATGTTGATGATAATCTTATTCACGTCTGACTTTCTCTCTCCTTCCCAGGGGACAGACACGCACCATAAAAACATTCAGACAAGCCACGAAAGACAAGATTTATTTGGGAAATGATCCGGTTCTCTCATGTGCTCTCAGCAAAATAAATAAAACAAGATGCTGCTATGGTACACTATTTACAACCTGCAGGAGGACCTGCTGACCAATCAGTAGCCCTCCACCCTCTCTGTAGACCAATACTGTATTCTTCCAAAGTAAGGGATGAAGTCCAGCAGTTGGGTCAGAAAAAGGGGTTCAAGGGACTGCTTTAATCAAGCTCGGGGCCAGGCTGCACTTCTCGCAAATCTGGAGAGGCAGCATGTGAGTCAAGGAGGCCTCGTTGATGGTCACCAGTAGCTGCAGCTTGCCCAGGCAGTCCTGCAGCGCCGCCTCTGGGTGCTCGCCGAGGAGCAGGTCCACCGGACTTGGGAGCCGAAGCATGCGGTCCGCCAGCGCCAAGCAGCAGATGGCCAGGAGGGAGGGGGAGTAGCTAGTGAAGGCATAGTCCGCTAGGCTCAGCTCCGCCATCCCCTGCGCCAGAGTTTGTGCCTCCAGGGCCTCTGAGACCTCCGCCTGCTCCGCCTCCACTCGCACGTGCGTATAATGCTCCAGAAAGAAGCTGATGGTGGGCGCGCCCAGGCTGAAGTGCAGCTTGTGCAGCACGATGCACTCGAGGTTGCAGAGCTGTTGCCTCGAGAAGGTGTTGCAGCACAATGCCAGTAGCTGCTTCACGCGTGGCGGATGTACCTCCACCTGCAACACCGAGCGCGTTCAGTGCTGTGGAGCCTCTTTCTGGACAAAAACAGCCCAGCCCCAAACCCAGAAGAAAAAAGGAATTGTCCAACCCCTTCCAACCAGATGGCCCGGGGCTCCGCCTCTCTAAACTGTGATCACCTGGGGCATTCTTTCAGCGCAATTTAACTAATAGGCTAAAACGGGCTTCTGAAAGTTTGAAGTTTTTTGCGAGGAGAAGAAACCAGAATAGCAGTGTTACAAAGGGCTGTTTGAACATGAATACTCTGAAGGCAGTGTAAAAGGATTCTTAGTTGTGGGAGAAGTGTGAAGTTAAGGCTGGGGGATGCGTAAATTTGCAAATGTCTGCCAAAATGTATTCAGGGAACCCAAACACTGCGTGGAGAGGTTAGCAGCTACAAAATTAATGATTAGGAGTTTGGCTGCTCCCGGGCGTCCCATGGAGGTACCTGTTTGCAAGCGATGAGTAAGGAAGTGACTCCAAGTAGCTGGAAGCAGTCTGCAGCCACCGGTGTGGTGATGAGGAAGCGGTCCAGAATGTTCACAGTCAAGCATAGCGACTCAAAGGAGAGACCAAATTGGCGGTGCACAGGGATCAGCCAGCTTAGCAGTTTACAGCGGGATTCGGCGGTCACCTGCCGGAGGGAGTAGGGAGGCGCTCTGAGTTTTAGGGGGAAGAGGAAGGCGCGCTGCAGAAAGACAGAACAGAGCAGACCCAGTTTCCTGGGAAGAGCGCAGGGAAAAAACTAAAGGCACTGGAAACACACGGGCAGCGCTGCAGCCTAAAGAGCGTTTTGGGCGGAGCGGGTGGTGGTGCAACGCCTGGCGCTGTGGGGAGCGCATCAGACGCATTACCTCCAGTAATCCTTTCAGCAACTCAATGGGGATCCATTTTGCAGATGAAGAAACAGGCTCAGGGTTGTTTTTAACTTCCCTGAATCCGAGCTCGAGTTTAGAAACTGTTGACTCCTCTGCATCTACCTTGCCCTCAACTAACCAACTTGGAGACTTCGAGCAGGGCACTTTAAGTCATCTAGGTCCCACTTAACTTCATCTGTAAAATGAGGCCGTTGACTCGCCCCACAACGCCTTTTCCGGGTCGGACTAGGGGGTTGGGAACTGTGCTGGCGCCAGCAGGCACACAGCGGGCTGGGAGGACGCGGCGGAGAGCAGACAAGGCAGAAAAGGACAGAGTCGCGGAAAGGAAGAGCGGCGACGGGGAGCGGGCTCGACCAGCGCCTCACTTGTGGCTGCTGCGCCAGCGACTCCCGCGGATGGAAGTGGCTCTCCCGCGCCTTGTGGAAGGCGTAGCAGCTCTGGCCATAGTCGCGGAAGGTCTGTAGGTCTAGCTGTGCCCATGGCCGGGCAGGGCCGGGCAGGAGGCCGCAGTCCCGCGCCGCAGACGCCGCGGGGCTGTCTACGCCATCCGAGCCAGAACTAGGGGACTCGAACAAGTCGCAAACGCCAGAGTCTCCAAGAAGCGGGAGCGAGTTCAGGGGCTGAAGCGGTTCCTTCCTTCGGAGGCGCAGACGCCTGCTCTTCTTCACCGGGGCGCGGAGGTTCTGGTCGTTGTCCCGCCTCCTGGCCCGGGCGGCGGGACTCGTGGGGCAGGAGGTCACCATGATGCAGTCGGTGGCCGCCCGACTGGCCCCAACGCCCGGGTTGCGGCAGGCTGAATGCTCCAGAGTGCGTAAAAGGCCGGATCTGACCGCTGCCGAAGGCCTAAGTACCAGCCTGCCCCCTTCCCTCCACCACACCCCCAGCCTCTCACTGGCTGAGAGCAGAGCGGCACGAGAACCGCGCTTTCCCGGCTAAAGAACCGCTCTTCAGCAAGCTGCTGGCAGCTTGTCGCCTCCGCCGCCCGCAAGGAGGAGGAGGTACCCCAGCTCGCGCCGCACCGCTGCCTTACGCGCGTCCATGTTACCTAGGCAACGGGAGCAGAGGTCGCAGCGAGAGCCAGCGCGCGGGTCCTCGGAAGAAGCGCCGTAACTGTGCCACTAGGTGGGCTGGGACCCAGCTGCGGGACTCGACCGTACCCAGGAAAGAGATTCTCCCAGGGGGCATCTGTCTCTCAGTCCTTGGCCATATGGTCTTGACTACTGCGAGCATCTTCCATGCCGGCTCTAAGCCAGATCGGTAACATTGTAAAGGCTCTCTTCTGAGCTTCAAACTAAGGCGCCCGCTTAAATTCTGCTGTCATAGGAAAAGTTATCTCAGTGACCCATGGCGAATTGATTCCGACTCACAGCGACCCTGTATAAAGTTTCTGAAGAGTAGCTGGTGGGTTTGAACCACCGATCTTGCAGTTTGCAGCACAGTGCTTGTCCTACAGCGCCACTCCCGGACCCCAGTGACTCATACAGGATATAAATTATATTCCTAATTCAAGTGAATTTATGATTTTTGTTTCAGTCAGTTGCTGAGTAATCAGTATTCCTCTTTTCCACCGATTTTGGCGGCAGAGCTTCGGCAGGATCCTCTGTGCTTTTGAGTATCTAGAAGGTAGTCCAGCCAGCCAAGCATGGGTGCTCAAAGCAAAACAGAAAACCGTCCAACAAATCCCCAAATAAGCCTGCCCTCCTTTTAATAGGTAAGGGCGCAAGGTCAGCAGTTCGAAACTACCAGCTGCTCCGAGGGGAGAAAGAAGGCTTTATGCTCTGGTAAAGATTTACAGTCTCGGAAAGCCTATGCAGGCTCGCTATGAGTCGGAACCGACTCCATGGCATATCACCACCTGTAACAGGTACTTGAGGCTGCAGAGGTTGAAGGTTCTAATTGCTCACAGCCTGTTTTGTGTTAGGTTATTGGCTTTTAACTGGCTGCCCCTGGTTGCCCAATCTACCTTCCTTGTTTCTTGCTTGGGGTCTCCGGTTTCTGGTTTCTGTCATTCTCATCTCATTTCAGGAGAAAGATGACAAATGTATGTATGTAATCAAAGTGCACTCAGAAATTTAGTTGGGGGTGGGAGTGGAGTGGAAACTTAGTGGAGTCTGGTTAGACATGCTGGGGAAAGAAACCCAATGACTTCAGGTTTTGGTCCCTGTTACTCTTATTTTCCTTGTAGGACTTTAGCAAAGTTTTTAGTGTCATGTAGCATGGGGAAAACCTTTCCAGATGGTTCTTACCTAGACATGTGACTCTTATGTATAAAAGGTGCTGGGCCGACTACTTCTTGAGCTATTGGAGAGACATTGTAGGAGGGGTAATTGGTTAAATTATTTAATGGTTTAAATCTGTAGAGAGGAGGCTGGGTCAGATATCAGACTTCTTTCTGGAGAAGCTTTCTGGATGTCCAGGAAGAACCCAAATATTCTAATTTTTCATATTGGCTGAGATGGCTGTGTGAAACAATGCTAAGAATTTGAAACGGAGGTCAGATTGCTGTTTCTTTTTATTTTTTACCTTGGGCAAGCCACTTACCTTGCCTGTCTCCTTTTCCTCGTCTGTCAAATCTAGGTACTGTTGATAACTTGTCTTGAAGATCAAGTAAAATAGATATGAAAATTCTGTCCCTTTGCATGTAAAATATCAGGGTTACCTTCAAACTATCATTGGGAAGTCAGCAATACTGTCACACTAGAGATGTTCTGAAAAAAAGCATCACTCCATCCACCTCTAATCTTGGCTTTGTTTTCTTGAGGAGTTGGCCTGTAGCTCGAGTCAACTCCCAACAGCTGGTGCCTGAGTTTTGGCCTGATGGATGATTCCTTGGTACCTGTGGACTGCTTGCCATGACCGGAACAGTACTGATGGTGCAGTGGATAACTGCTAACCCAGAAGTCAGCAGTTTGACTCCATAGGTCACATCACAGGAGAAGGATGAGACAGTTCGCTTCTGTAACGATTTCACCTTCAAAGCCCTATGGCTTTTGTGGCAAAAGGAGGGGAGTAATTGACTATGCAGTCCAAGAGCGGAGGTCCCTGGAACCATCAAGGAAGAAGAGCAGAGTGTGAGACCCTACCCAGACAGGCAGTGATGCTGGAGATGGAGGCAGAGATGATGACATGGAGAGAGGGAGAGGGGCTGTGTGCTGACGACTGAGGGGCAGGCTTGCAGGGTATACCCTTTGGTTGGTTGATGATACATGGAGGGGATTGTAAACATGGCAATTAAATGATATATGATAGGATGAATGTAAATGTAAAGCTAATGTTCTTCCATGTAAACTATCACATAAGTCACAATAAAACATGAAAAAAAAAAAAAAAAACCTATGGGGTGGTGCCAATCCACATGTGGTGCAGGCAAGTACCCTGAAAATAAACACCCGCTACTTTGTGAGCCTTCCCAAGGTCTGCGTCTGAATCTCTGCCGCTGTGGACCAGCTCAGACACTGAAGAAGACCTAACTGCAGCCATGAACAGCAAGCAATAAATGCTTCAAGTGTGGACGATCTGGTCCCCAGACCCAGGAATGCTCTACCAGAGGAGGCCATGGATTTGGAATGAGAAGCTATGGCAAAGGCAGTTTCCAGTTTGTTTCCTCGTCCCTTCCAGACATCTGTTATCGCTGTGATGAGTCTGGTCATCTTGCCAAGGAGTGTGATCTCCAGGAGAATGAAGCCTGCTCTCACTGCCATAGAGGTGGTCACATTGCCAAGGACTGCAAGGAGCCCAAGAGAGAGCAAGAGCAGTGTTGCTACAACTGTGGCAAACCAGGCCATCTGGCTCATGACAGTGGCCACGCTGATGAGCAGGAATGTTATTCTTGCAGAGAATTTGGACATATTCAAACAGACTGCACCAAAGTCAAGTGTTATAGGTGTGGTAAAATTGGTCACGTAGCCATCAACAGCAGCAAGACAAGTGAAGCCAACTGCTACCGCTGTGGCGAATCAGAGCACCTTGCACAGGAATGCACAACTGAGGCTACAACTTAATTACTTTCCTTTGTCACTCCTCCTTTTTCTGATTGATGATTGTATTCTTTTCTCTGAATACTCTTCACTGGCCAAAGGTTGGCAGATAGAGGCTACGCCCAGGACAGTGAGCTTTACTTGCCATGCAAAAGGAAGAAAGGAGGGGTGGGGGGATTGATTTTCTGCATTTAACTACAAAAAAAGTTTGTTTCGTTTGGTAGAGGTGTTATGTATCATGCTTTGTTAAAGAACCCATGTTCCGTGCCACTGGAGAGTAAGGGATTAATGAATGGGCAGAGTCAGACTATTAAGCCCATTCTGGGTTTCATGAAATGTTCCTTATGTAGCAGGTGGATGGCTGTAAGTAACTTTAATTTTAGCATAATGATGGCTTTGGATTGTCTGACCTCAGTAGCTATTAAATAACACCAGGTAATATCTGTCTCAGGCCCTATATAGAAGATACAGTTGAGTGGGAGTAAACAAAGACAAACATGTGTATTATTGACTATGAAAGAGAAATACCAGGATAAAAGTCTAAAATGGAACAGCTTCATCACAGAATTGATGCTGGGTATACACATGGTGATGGGCAGAGGTTTAGAACTCACTTGTTTTTTTTCAAAGACTAAATCTAAAACTCAGAGTAAACATCAATGCTCAGAGTTAGCATATTTTGGAGCTGTTCAAGAATTGCAAAGAAACACATTTTCACAGAAGTCAAGATGCTATTTTTATATATCATATCATTTAGACAACTGTGTTTCATTTGCTGCAATCAGTTTCTAAAAGTCAGATGGAAAAAGCCACTGAAGTCTTAGAAAATAGAAATGTAATTTTTAAACTCTTGAAGAAAGCTGGAGGAGGAAGGGGAGTTTAACTAAAGTTCATTTGTTTCAGATTTTCATTAATGTATATAATACAAAATGCCCTCTTACACGGGAATGTGGAGGACTGGGAAAAAAACAACCTATGGGGCAGTTCTACTCTGTCCTTTGTGGCTGCTATGAGTTAGAATTGTCTTCATGGCCACAGGTTTGGTTTGGAGGTGGTTTGCCATACCAGTTACTGGGTATAAACAATGAGTAAGAGACGTGGGGGCATACCCTCACAGAGCTAACACTCTAATTGTCATTGTTAAGTACTGGCAAATTGCAACCCTCTAATCGCTCATATGCAAATTCAAGCTGAAGCTGAAGAAAATGAACACAAGTCCACAAAGCCAAAATATGACCTTGAATGTATCCCACCTGAATTTAGAGACCATCTGAAGAACAGATTTGATCATTTAAATTGAGTCTATGGGACTGTAATGTGGGGATTTGTTATTTTTGTCATCTTGCTAGCTTTAAAAGGAGTCATGGCAGAAACAGGAATAGACAATCAATCCCAGAGCCATCAAGAAACAAGAGCCATGAGTGTGAGATACCTGTGAAGAAAAGCTGAGTTGGGGGCAGCAGAGGCAGATCAGCAAGCTTCCCTGTCCACGGACCAAGTGAAGCTGAGTGCCTTCAGGCAGGAGACTGGCTTGCAGGATTTGGTGCCCTGTGGGCATTAGCAGCAGTGTAAACAAGCTTATAACACTAGTCTGAGCACAGCAGAGGCCTAGGGGCCACGTGGTTGAGAGGCCAAGAATGAGAATGAGGCATGCCTGTACTACAGTATGCCTGAGAAGAGGCATCCTTGATTAGAGAACTGCCACATCCTAAGTTGTTTCTGATCCTATATTGTGGCCCGTTCACGTCCCTAATAAAGCCCATAATTGTGAATATTGTCTGTGAGTTCTGTGGGGGTCTTTGCAAGGGATTACCAAATCCAGCAAAGAGGCAGAGTGCTAGGGGAGAAGGGGAGATGGATGGTGTCAGAGGAAGGGAAAGAAGGTGGACAATGATGTCAGGATGTCTAATGTCTGTCTCATAGGACTCAGCCTAGGACTGCTGAGTCTCCTTCTCCCCTCCTTTTTTTTTAAATACAAGGAAACGTTCATTTTAATTTTCATCAAGAAATTTGCTGTGGTTTTTTATGCTTTTAGTTCTCTTTTTTTTTCTCCTTCGCTTTATTTCACTCTAGCTGCTCAGTGACTGCAGCCACTGGGTTCCTGGTATTAAAAAGATGCCAACAAAGGTAGGTGTGTCTCACCCAGGGGCCTGGCCCATTCCGAATATCCCCCCAAAATCCTCCTTCCCTCTTGTGAAGTCCACTTTTGTTCCCCTCATGCATAGGAAGATTAGGAAAAGCTTCACTGAGCAAAACAAAGACCTGAAGGAGTTGAGGGAGTGAATCACACATGTATCTGGGGACAGCATTCCAGCAAAGGGAACAGCGAGTACAAAGGGTCTGAGACAGGCACATGCCAGGAAGAGTGTAAGGGGGAAAGTAGTAGCAGATGAAGACAATTTCTGCCTAGATTTTGTCGTTCCTTCTAGGAAGCCTTTGTAAATCTTCTGCCTTTTACTCAGAAAGGAGACATCATTGGAGGACTTGATGGAAGGTGTTGACATTTAAGTTTTACAATTTAGAACTCTTGTCCAATATGGTAGCCACTAGAAGCCCTGGTATAGTGCTGTAGGATAAGCACTGGATTGCTAATCACAAGGTCAGTGGTTCAAATCCACCAGTCGGAACCAACTTTGTTGTTAAGTGCCTTCGAGTCGGAGCCGACCCATAGCGACCCTGTACAGGGTTTCCGAGGGTATAAATCCTTACGGGAGTAGAGAGCCTCATCTTTCTCCCGCAGAGCGGCTGGTAGTTTCGAACCACTGACCTTAAGGTTTGCAGCCCGATTCGTAACCACTACGCTACCAGAGCTCCTTAGCAGCCAACTGTACCAAAACCCCACTGCTGTTGAGTCTTTTCTGACTCATAGTAACCCAGGAGACCTGCTCTTTAGGGATTCCAAGGCTCTTGGTTTTCTTTGCAGAAGCAGGCTGTTTTCTCTTTCTCCCATGGAGAAAAAAAGTCAGCAGTGGATTTGACCCACTGACCTTTTGCACTGGACTATACTTTGTTAGCCAAGTATAGTGGGTCAAAAGTAGAAGGCCAGCAAAAAAGAGGAAGACCCTCAACAAAATGTATTGGCACAGTAGCTGGAGCAGTGGGATCAAATATAGCAATGATTGTAGAGATGGCACAAGATGGGGCAGGGTTTCGTTCTGTTGCACATAGGTTCACTATGGCACCTGCTTCAGGGCACCTAGCAACAACAAGCCAAATGTACCTTTTGAGCACTTGGAATGTGGCTCATGTGACTTCTTGTTGTTGGTAAGTACCATTGAGTCTGTTCTGATCTACAGCTGCCCTATATGGGGTTTCTGAGGAGCCGCCGGTGAGCTGAACCATCGACCTTGTGATTCAAGCCAACTTTGCAGTCTAGCGCATTAACCCACAGCACCACACCAGGATTCCTAAGGTGGTTTATTCTTGTTGTTATTGTTAAGGGCCATTGAGTTAATTCTGCATAGGAAGCAGCTAGTGACTTTGAACCACCAACCATGCAGTTCAAACCTTTCGGTTCAGTGGAACTGAAAATTTCGTTAGACTTAATTTAAATTTAAACCAGCCTGGGCTATATTGGAATACAGTTGAGAAATTCACCTTCTATTACCGCTATGGGTCAGTACAGACTGGATGGCCCCTGACGTTACCACTCTGCAGCAACTTACATCTCCATTCAAACCGTCATTTTCACCTCCAATTCTCTATCCTTAAAAAGTCAAATAGGAATTGAGACTAGCCAGGAGGCAAACTGAAATCCAAGATTAGGTCGTTAAAATTTAATTATTTTAGTATAGTAAATTCTGAATCTAGAATGATAGCATAAATTATAGAAATGCAATGTGATAGTGTCCAAACAATCAAAATAAAAGTAATCATTGTCAATAAAAAAAAAAAAAAATCCTCGATTATGGGAAACCTTATAAATTTGCTTGGAACAATGTTGGTGTGCCTATACATTTTATAGCTAAATACAGATCAACTATTTTTAATGAAGAATTGATGCTTTTGAGTTATGGTGTTGGAAGAGAATATTGAAAGTGCCAGGGCTGCCAAAAGAACCAATAGATTGTTTTGGAAGAAGTGCAGCCAGAGTGCTCCTCAGAGGCCAAGATGGCCAAACTTTGTCTCTCCTACTTCAGACATATTGTCAGGAGGGGCCAGTCGCTGGAGAAGGATATCATGTTTGGTAAGGTGGAGGGTCAGAGAAAAAGAGGAAGACCCCCAATGAGATGGATTAGCCAAGTGGCACTCAAGTGTGGCAACAGTAGTGAGGTTGGCTCAGGATCGGGCAGTGTTTCATTCTGCTGTGCATAAGGTCGCTATGAGTCAGTACCAACTCAATGGCACCTGACAACAACAACATTTTTAATGAGGGGAGTGTGGGTTCTCTATACAATAAGCACTGGACTGCAAACCACAAGGTCAGCAGTTTAAGCCCACCAGTCACTCTGTGGGAGAAAGGAGGTTTTTTGCTCCTGCAAAGCTGTGCAGCCTCCGAAACTGCATACGGTCACTGTGAGTTAGAACCAACTTGACATTACTTAACATTTTCACTGAAAATTCAGTGTTCAAATAGAGAAGTTCTATAAACAGAAAATACACACAAAATTTTGAAGATTTAGTATAAATAAGGAGTTGTGATACGGTGCTATAGAAAAACCACCCGCCACTCCTTGGAAACCCTATAGGGGTCGCTGTGAGTCAGAACTGACTTGCTGGCACTTAACAACAAATAACAAGTATGGGTAAAACCATAAAATATCTCATGAATAATTCTTATAGCCATGTTGAAATTCTATTTTGGGTATATTGAGTTAGATAAAATACATTTTTTAAATTAACTTTGCTTGGTTTAAAAATATATATTGTTCCTAGAAACTTTAAAATTATGTATGTGACTCACAGTTTATTTCTATTGAACAGCACTATTTCAAAGGACAACCAGGATGAGAATATGTACGGAGGTGGGGGGTGGGGGCAGGAGCGTGGAGGGAGCAAGGAACATGGACAGAAGCAGAGGCCAC